TTGGATGTGCGACTCTTGATTTTGGCTCAGGTGGTGATCCCAAGGTCGTGAGATGGAGCTCCGTGTCAGTATCTGTGCTGAATGTGAAGATGTTTGGGATTCTCTCTCTTTCACTCTCTGCCCCTGTTTCATGCTCATATGCTGTCTATCTCTCTAAAATACAATACAATAGGGGTATCTGGGTGGCTTAGTCAGTTAAGTGTCCGACTTCCGCTTGGGTCATGAACTCGCGTTTCCTGAGCCCGCTTCGGGCTCTGTGTGGACAGTGCAGAACCTGGAGCGTGTTTCGGATTCTGTGTCTCCCTCTCTCTCTGCCGCTTCGCTGCTTGCATTCTGTCTCTTTCTCAAAAAAAAAGATTTAAAAAACTATTAAATACATACATACATATATACATACAATCCCAGATAAAGTTATACAAAAGTCAGCAATTCTTAATATTATGCAACCATAAAAATGTGTTTTTTTTAATTCAAAACTTCATTTAATTTTTAGATCTTTACCCTATCTGTACCTATCTCCCTAGAATATATTTTGTTGCTAACCAAAGCCACAGCTCTGATATAACCAGTATAAGTGAGTAATCACTTGTCTAAAAAAGTACTCTTTCTCTGTGTTCACGGTTTCTTTTTTAGCTATTTTCATAATTGATTATCATTATTTCCATTTGGGGTTTTATGGAAAGAATACAAATTGCAGTGAATTAATTTCAAACTGAGGGAGTAACAGGATCTTTCTGAAGGTAGAAATGGGAAGCAGAACTAGAGAAAGACATTCTAGCCTCCAAAAAGGGATCAGTGACTCTGATGCAACATGGAACAAAATGCTGTCTTCTAGGCACGTGAATGGCTCAGTCAGTTAAACCTCTGACTGTTGGTTTTGGCTCAGGTCATCATCTCGTGGTTTTGTGAGTTCAAGCCCCATGTGGAGGCTCTGTGCTGACAGCATGGAGTTTGCTTGGGATTCTCTCTCCCTCTTTCTCTATCCCTCCCTCACTCATACTGTCTCTGTTTCTCTCAGAATAAATAAACTTAGAAAAATGTCCTCATATCCCACTAATGTCTAAAAACAGGCTCAGAGTTTTCAGAAGGAACATATTTAATTAGAAAGAAGTAGGGACTAATGATATGAAAAACAGAATTACTAAAAACATTAAGACAGTCAAGCTTACAATGTAGAAAAGTTTGACTCCATATAATCTAAACATTTTCTCTGGTACTTAGATTATGTAATTTCACATGATCTGAAGTTCATGTTCCTTTCTAAGATACTGAAAATCTATACTGTTTCACAAACTCCAATGAAATATGCCTAATTCCTTTCTAGCACTTATTCCTAGTTGGAATTAAGCCATCCAATCAGCTATATTTAGTTCTCTGGTTGTTTCATCTACAACTATGTTTCATTCTCTTCCATTGTTCCCGTTGACGAAATACAATTGTGCAACAATACAATATAACCTGACTAATAATTTTCAAATTATTTATTCAGACCCTCTAGAGGACACAGAAATCTCCCACGTATTTGAGCTACTTTGGGGACAAAGGTGTAATGTCATCTTGTAGTCAGGATTTATAGCTCAAGCTCAGAGGTCCAACTCACTGGATTAAATTCCTGAATCTACCATTTCCCATGTACATGATCTTGGACAACCTACTTAATTTATATGTGTCTTCATCTGCATTGAAAAAAAAAATGAGGATTAAAAAAAGTTGTACTTATCCGACTAGGTTGTCCAAACCTAAAATTAAAACGTACATGTATACTGCTTGGTAAACAATTAGGACCAAATTAATAAGAGTCACCTTATGGCTTTTGGTACAGTATTACATAGGCAAAAAAAAGTTCCTGAAATTCATTATGCTTAACTTCCAGGAAAGAAGCATTCTATTAAGCTGTTTATGTCTTGAAGAGTCTAGTGTGGGTGATACCAATGCACAAATACAACCACAGCCTTTCTGTTCAAGCAGAAGGAAATTCTTTGATCTATGAAGATCTGTAGCATGTACCCACTGAGTCACTTCTACAGCTTTTGAGAGTACTGCATAGACTAACTGGGTTACGCTCCATACTGTGTGTGACCTTTGCACCTCCAATGGAAGGGCTTTTCTTGGTCTCTGTCTTCAAATTCATATCCAGTATAGAGAAATCATGAGAATAAATGGAGGCTGAGGCCCAAGAAGCAAATTATCAGATAAAGTGTCAAAATAAATGTGGCCTTGTCCCAGGGCACACAGCTGCTAAATGGCTGAATTTGGATTTGAACAAGGTTTGGTATATTTTAAAGCCAAGAGATAGCCTACAAAGCACATCTTTCACATTATCACCCCATTATCTATTCATTTTTTAATGTTTATTTATTTAATTTTGAGAGAGAGAGAGAGAGTACAAGTCTGGGAGGGACAGAAAGAGGGAGAGGCAAAATCCCAAGCAGGCTTCACAGTGTCAGTGCAGAGCCTGATGTGGGGTTTGAATTCAGGAACCATGAGATCAAGACCTGAGCTGAGATCTAGAGTCAGACTCTTAACTGACTGAGCCACCCAGGCACCCTACCATTATCTGTTCCAATACCAAGAATCTTTAGTTCCTGAATCCACACAATTTCTCTCTATAAAGAGTTCCAATGTGCTCCATGTTGGGTTGGATTAGATAGATAGTGACCTCTTCTTCTGCTAACTTCTCCTTAGGGGAGTGATTACCCTCAGCCTGAAAAGAATGAATTAAGGTCTAGGATGATAAACAGAGTATATGGAAAAATGAAAACATTATTTAACATCGTTGTTCTTTTCTCCTGCCTTCCCCTGCTCACCACACACACACACACACACACACACATCCCACTTAGCCACTTGTCACCAATATGCTATGTCCCAACAAGCCACACCCCTAAAGGAATGTATAATTGAGAGGCAAATGATATAGCTGTTTTTCCTCTTGTCTTCAGAATCACTGGCCAAAATGAGCTGTACTCTCCCCAGACCCTCCCATTTGAATTGTATTAGTAACAATCTTCGCTGTGCATGAATTTCAACTGTGTTTGCATGATTGACTGTGACAGGAATACTGAGAAGCTTCCACACAGATGAAATCTCTCCTTGTTGCCAGTGCTCTGCCGCTGCCGGCCCACTGCCATGCTCAGAAGTTCAATGTCAATATCTCTTGCCACAAGAAGGCTCTGCTCTTGGGGTTGCCGTATGCTCTGGTTAATATTGATGATATCAAACCATGTTCATTCAGTCTCTTTCAGACCTGCCTTAGCTACATGTCAATGCCACTCCTCTATGGCAGCACCTCTGTACGTGGTGGTTTATGGATTTTAGGCTTAAATCGTCTTCTTTAGGATGGCATACACATAAATCAACATTAGGTTTTTCATAAACTCCAATACTTGACAGCCCCCCTCCACAAGGCATGGCATATGTTTTCTTAGCATTTTCCTTGCTGGAAAGTTCTACTTTCATCACACAAGATCCAAAATGGCTAGTTTTTCACTTTTTGGATGACTGGCTTTCCTCATGTGTCAGAGATCTTTGGGTTTCTCTACAAATCCCTGCCACTCTTCATATTGGGTCTCCGAACTAGCTAATCATGTTGTGAAATCTTACTGAGCGTTTCCTATATACAAGGTCATGTGCTGAGCACTTTCAAATTATTAACTTATTAAGTCTCACAGTGGCACAGTCATTATCATCTCAGTTTTGAAGTTGAGGAAACAGAGTTGAGAGTCATCAAATAATTTGTACAGAGCCACGCCATTGAGATGCGAACAACCTTCACCCAGCACGGCTGAGATTCAGACCCAGGAAAATCTGACTTCAGAGTTCAAGCTCTTCACCACTACCTACCTCATGTTGCTCTGAAAACCGAGAGCCCCATTGCAGAGTCCAAGCTCTTCACCACTACCTACCTCATGTTGCTCTGAAAACTGAGAGCCCCATTGCAGAGTCCACCCACAGCTTCTCCGTACAAGCTATTCTAAACAAAATTAATGTATCTTCACACATTCTGGCTCCATGGTTTTATGATCTTCATACTGAGCACGTTCCCCATCTTCTGCTGAGTACCACAAAGATTCTTTTATTATGCTTCATACTCTGCAAACAATTATAAGGGAACATATTCTCTTTTTTTTTTCCCTTCCAAATATTTATACCATTTTCATCTGGTGCAAAAGAAAACCCGGTAACGTAAAACCCACAACAGTGTTGCATAAAAATAATAGCGTGACAGTTAAGTTTGTAATTCCAAATGCAGTAAATTTATTTAATACAAAGAGTATTTTCCCAACTCAGAGAACACTTAAGAAATAGTGAAAAGAGGAAGAAGAATAGCAGAAATGGAAGTGGATACATCATATTCAAAGGTCTCTGGCTGCTCTATGGTTATGAAGTCCATGGAAGTGAAAGTGAAAATTCTCTCACTCTTTTCCAGCGATAGATTCAATCTCACAGTTGACTATAGGCGTGTTGTGATACAGCAGATAAAACAGTGGATGGACAGGGAGTAGATACAGATTTCGGTTGTGGTTTGATGTTATGAACAACATGGACAACATCTGATAGAGTTGAACCCATCAGAATTCATGGGACTAGACAGGGTTCAGAGTCCCTTTAAACTCCAATATTATCCAGATTTCTGAGATTAGTAGCACATTATATTTGTATATTATAATAAGCCAGATTCAGAGCTATGTGTTTTTGCTGATAATAACCAGTACTCATCTTAGTCACTGGTGGCAACTCTTAGTGCTCTACAGCAAATAGTGTTCTAGTGACCCAAAATATTTAACATGCTTTCCAATCCCAGCTTACTACCAGAAATTCCCCCAAAGAGCAAGAATCCAAAAACTCTTCCCTTTAGAGACAGTAAAAGACCCATCCATTCACTCACAAACACATGAACCATAACATGCATGTAGAGAAATAAAAGTTCCTAGATATCTTAGAAAAGCAATTTATCTGAATCAGAAAAAGCTATCTCCTCTACACATTCTCTGCATTCTTCACTTACTAGGTAGTTGCAAACCACCAGTAACACAGCAAGCTGGCTCGTAAGTGTTAGAAGATTCCAGTTGTGGCCCTGGTGCGATGCAGACCGGATGCCTGCTGGAACTGGGTTCAGGGCTCTGAGATTGACATTGGCCAGGGTCACCTTCCAGAGTCAGACAACTCTTAGACACAGAAGGCTTGGGTGGACAACTCTTTGCCACGTGGCTCATAGACTGGCAGCCTTGGACTGCAGCTTGTTGGCCGCTTCCTGACTGGCAAGGCTGAGAAACACACGCCGATACTGCCGAGGAACGTCCTGATTGGCATATTGTTTTTGCACAGGGCCTGGAATTAGAACAAGTTATTTGGACAACTCTGGGGAGGCAGGCGCTTTGCATGCCGCTCTGCTCTGTGCCCAGTTCCTGTCTACAGTTGGGCACTTTGCAGCTGGTAGTTTCACTGCAGGCTTCTGGAAAGTTGTCCAGGAGCCAGGTCCTGCTATGGCAGCTGCTGGGTAAAAAAAATCCATCTTCAAAGCTTATGAGCTGAGACCCATGTACGATGGCAGAGAGAGGTGGGGCACTGTAGAAGCTCCTGGGCAAGTGGCCTTGGCTCTCGGACATACTGTCAAAGCCCTTGATTGAAGTTGGTCATAAAGCCCTAGCAGGCCAGATCTGAGGAGTCTTTTCTGGCGAGGTTATATACTCAGAAAACTGGGTGTTGGCTTCTTCTCAAGGTTCCTTTCCACCTCATTGCTTAAGCTAATTTGAAGTATAACATCTCATTAGCACTTTGTTTAGTAACATAGGAAGATGATGTCCTATTAACAAAGAAGCTGGTCAGTTTTGAGTCTTCTGTATGGCTTTCATGTTGGCCCCAAAGCTGACTCATACGGGTGGAGTTTGTCAAATATGAGTCCCAACATGCCACCCAAGCTAACATTTCTTTCTTTTTTTTTTTCTTAGTCACCAGGACTCTCCATATGGGCAAATGGACAAAACAAATGGACATGGAAACAGCCTATTGTGTACTAATCAGTATTCAGCACTGGAGTTTTTAGAGATGCTCTTTTGGCAAAAGATAATAATTTGATCAAGACATTTTCAGTCAGAAGCCAATCCAATGAAGCCAACCCTCATTCTACTCAGATCTTTGTCTGTCCAGTTGATCCGGATGAGTGAAGAACTTGACAATGAAATCTCTTCTTCCAAAGTACTGACAGTGGCCATTGCCCTATAAATGTCTTTTCCTTTGTCTAACATTTTGTTTCTCTCATCTTATTGAAGGTCAAATATAAATGTTGCCTCTTTAAGAAAATTTCCCAGATCTTCCTATTTGCAGGCTCCTACTTCTTCTGAATTACCAATTGACTTTGACACGTTCTTTCTTATGACTGTATTTATACCAAGAAGTGTCTTTATTTCTATTTGTGCTTCTCAACGGCTGATCATTTGGCTTTGTAACAAGCCTGTTTCAGATGTGCTTTTCATTTTTGCTTATTGTGTTTTGTTTTTTGACTGCAGAATTGTGATTGACTCTCACATTTATCACATTAGCAGCTGTACTTAGCATAATGTCATACTCATAACACAAGACCTACCAGCATAACTTTGATAGCACCTTCTGTAACTCACTTAGCTCAGCTCTCGGCAGGGAAACAACAGAAGTATATTCTTAGCACAAAGCTCTGGCCCCTTTTCTCAGGTGTGAAGAAAACCAAGACCATTCAGGAACCTCATACAAGTCAGGATGTATATGTGTGATGGCCTGGGGATGTCATATATTTCAAAGGACACACTCAGCCTGACAAGCTGCGCACACAACTTGTGCGTAAGGCCTTCATAACAAATGCAAGTTATTGATGACTTTGAATGACCAGTCTTGTGTGTTTAAAGATCACAATATGCTCCCCACATGACCCCAACAACCCATTTAAACCTTATGCATATTTGTATTTATCATTGCATGGAGCTCTTCCACTGTAGCTTGTATTAAATGGATTATCATTGCCCTGAGAATAAGATCCATATTCCTTAGCCGGGCCTACACAGCACCTTGCAAAACCTGGGTGCTGCCTATTTTTCTAAGTCCAAATCTTGCAGTCTCCTTCTGCCCAACATCCTCCCTTTGCACAGGCCTTGGAGCACGTCAAGCCTCTTTTTGCCTTAGTAGTTTGCACGTGCCTCTGCCTGTCTGTTTCATCCCTTTCCTGCCCTCTCATTCTCTACATACAGCATCTTTCCTCATCTTTTGTGTCTCAGCTTAAGAGCTACCTTGAAGAATGGCTTGCCTTCATCGCCCTGTTTGAGAAAAGATTGCATTCTCGGAGTCTGTTTCTCTTCCTTCATAGAACTTATCTTAGTTTATAATGATTTTCTTTCTTTCTTCACTGTGCCTTTGCCACTACACTATAAGTTCCATAAAAGCAAAAGGTGTGTCTATCTTCTTCACTATTATATCTCCAGGACTGAGCACAGTGCCTGGCTGGCACATAATAAGAGGTCCATTGATGTATTTTGAAAAATTAATGAATAGAAGCTGCTAAATAAATGGAAGGAGCTAAGTGTATTCAAATTATAGTTAATGTCTCAGGGGATGGAGTTCTGAAATCTTAACACACACAAGGTTTTCAAGAATTGGCCAGGGTACAGAGTTTAAGGAGAAGAAAAAAGAACCATGCCTCCTTTCAGCTACCTTTTGTGAAATAAGAGCAAAATCACTAAGGAAGCCACTTATTAGCAGGGGTGAGTCTGAGTCAATTATTTTAAGATAATGTTTGATTGTATGTAAGCATGTTTTAAAAAGCTTTTACCATAGAAAAAGGGCACCACTTTTCACTGCCAACACGACAAAGTCCTGTTGCCAGATTTGGAGGGGACCGAGGCAAGACATCGTCTAGGCCAGCGTTCACACAATTGTGTCCAGCAGGGTGCCTTCTTATTAACCTCACAACGTGTAGCAAATTAGCAAATACCTGTGCAGTTCCCAATCTCCAAATGTCAAATAGTGATGCCGGGTCTGTCATTTGTGAATAAGGTGACCCCATGAGTTCTTCTCTCTTTGGGATGAAGCATTAACTTGCACATTCTATTTAACTGAGTGCTGAATTGATAGGCGTTTGGGCATGCAATTTTGGTTCAATGAGCAAATACAGATTTTCACTGGCGCTGGATTTATAGAGGGAGTTACCTGGCTTATTACTGTGGAATGACAAATGCCAGCACAACTGGTCACCTCGAGATTGTTTTCATGCAACCTACTAAAACTAAATGTTAGCTTTGCAGGCACTTGGATAATGATAATTATATAGTCTTATCTCCCGGTATTCTTGTGAAATTGGTAGACATAGTCACCTGATTGCTTACGGTGACTAGACACTTTGCTACTAAATGATTGAATAAGTCCTTGGTCTCTCCTGGTCTCAAAGGCTAATGATTGCAGGTGCAGTAGCACCTCCTTACCGCCAGAGGGTGGAAGAGCAACAATCGCTGTGGAGAAGAAATTAAATGCAAGGATCTCCAGGTACGATTCTAAGCCAAGATCCACTATCACAGCCCTTAAATGCTTCTCTTAAATGTCTATCCGATGGCTGCTCCATTTTTTAAATGAAAATTGTTAAGAGTATCAACTTCATAAAGTGGTTTTACAGATTATATGAGAAGATGATATATATGATACCAGATTGCCTGCCACATATTGAATGGTACAGGAATAAAAGCAGTAGTTGTTTCTGATCAGGTTAAGGATGTTTGTGCAAACCAAAATGTTCTGGTGGCAACATCAGTCTTGGATTGATATAAAACTATAAGGTAAAATAAACACAGTATCTTTTTTGTGCGTTTGAGATTATGGTGTTTGTATCTGTAAATATTGCACATTTTATTCTTTCAAGGATTGGAGTGGGAATGGATTCATTCCCGGTAAAGGTCTAGTCAACCTGTCGCTGTCTCTCAAGGGCTTGCCACTTGATGGTTATAAGGTTAAACAGTTTTTATTACTTTCATATTTCATTACGTGGCTATGCTGAATGTCTAATCACTTGCTCAGCTGTATTACAGTAAAATAAATAAATAAATTAGAGTTGCCCTGTAACATAATTCAGCTCAGTTCTGCCACAATTTATTTCCTCTATCCATGCCTTAGTGTCATCTCACCAACCAAATGACTTAAGTTCATTTAAATCCATTCCTCTTCTCCAACCAGGAAGTCACTCATGTAGACAGATTGCACAGCAATTTAAGAATACTAGACCAAGAGGGAAGAGATCTGGCTTCTGGCCCTGGGTCTATTAATTCACTGCATGAATTTGGACAAGTCACTCTGCCTCTTTGGATGTCTTACAAGATAATGACTTTAGATGAGAAGATCTCAAAGGTCCTTTCTAGCCATCACATTCTATGATTTTCTATCAGAATCTTAATATCTTAGAGTTGAAAAGGACATTAAATGGCATCTTGTCAAATCTTCCTACTGAATGAAATCTGCACTTTCATTTAAGCCATATAATTTTTATTAAGATTACTTATGAAAATTTTAACAGGACAGGACAAAGGCTGAAGTTGGGAGATGATTCGTTGCCATGCATGCAGGTGGAAATCTATCACTTAGAATGGATAGTTCTATTGTATTTGGAAGCAACTCTGAGAATAAAGGAAGAGTATGTTTTTCATTGGTCTTCCTCAAAAGAGTGTACCAAAGGGAATGGCCAACTTCCTTTAAGTGTAACATTTCGCAAAATAAGTCAAGTACCATATAACCTCTCTCAGACACTGTAATGGATACAGAAAAAATTATTTTAGTCTCTGGAATACTCAGAATTATGACACTATAACCATAATAATGATCCTATGTGGAGTATGAAAATAGTCTCTTGTCAGCTTTATCCATTTCTAATGAGAAATAGATTCTCTTAGAACATGATAATAAAAGGATTCACATGTGACATCATTTTTTTAAGCTACCTCTAAATAACTTTGCTTCTTGGGATAATTCTTGGTCATTTACAATTCAATGATGTCAGACTTTGATTCAAATGAAAGAAAGAAAAACAAAGCAAGAAAGAAAAAAAAGAAAGAAAGGCAGTAGTACACGGTGTGTATGTAGTCATTAAGAAAGAGTAATTGAAAAAAAAAATGGAGCACAGTATCTCAGCCATTTGAGCATTAACTTCCATATTTTCTAACCTCTTGTTCCATTATGTCTTGAATGTGAAAGTGTCATGGTTTATTATAGTAATTATACACTTGCTTTTGTTCTTCCCAGATGCACTTACTCGGGCTTGCCTCTGAGGTCAGCTTTTGGTGAAGTTATTTTTCTGCCTTCGTGTGATCCAGAAATGGGAATTCATTTTTGAGTTCTCCCACTGATCCCATGGCTACTGCAGTTGTGACAATATGTCATTAAGATGGTACTAAATCATTTTTGTTAGTAATGGTGGGCAGAAGATTAATGATGCTACTGACAGCCAGCTTATCCCAATTGAGTTCAACTAGCAAAAATGAATTAGTGTCTGTTGCCATTGACATAATACAACCTGGGGACTATAACCCGAGCTCCATTTCATTCATTCATCTACCAGACAAACATTTATCGAGTATTTACTACTTTCCAGTTTTCATTAGGTAAGATCCTATTGTGTTCATCAAGGATATAACAAGGGGAAACGAACTCACAAACAAAACAGTACTGATTAAACAAAAACTTTAAATGAAATATAAAATAGTGAATTTTCAATTAACAGAAATATAAGCATATTTAATGCTAGCATTGTATAGGAAATATCCACTCTATTGACTGTGGGGTCCACTAAAAGCAGTGAGAAAAGAGATAATATTTCTGTGGGTTTTGAAGAGTAAGAAAGACATGACACTCCTTCTAGAGGGAGAAGACTGTACTGCGTAATGTGTTCAAGGAAAGGGAGTAGGTGGCATTGATGGAGTGCATGTTGGTGGAGTGAATGCATGTGGAGTCATGTTGAGAGGGATTAGGACAGGGCAAAGGTGGACTGCAAATGGTCTTTAACATTCCACGGGGCCGTGGGGTGCCTGGGTGGCTCAGGTTAAGCATCTGACTTCAGCTCAAGTCATGATCTTGAGGTTTGTGGGTTTGAGCCCAGTGTTGGGCTCTGTGCTGACAGCTAGCTCAGAGCCTGGAGCCTGATTCCAATTCTGTGTCTCCCTCTCTCTCTGCCCCTCCCTCACTCATGTGCTCTCTCTCTCTCTCTCTCTCTCTCAATCTCTCTCTCTCAAAAATGAATAAACGTTAAAAAATTTAAAAAAAAAACATAGGGCCTCTTTTGGGAAGGGGGGTGGCTTGAGCCTTTAAATGAGGGTCTCCTTTAGCAAAACATTAACTCCAAGTCACAGAAATTGTTTTTCAAACTGGCTTAAGTAACACAAAAAGTGTACTGGCTCATATTTACTAATGTCCAGAGACAGTCTGGGCTCTGCTCCTTGCAGAGCTCCTTGGCTTTACTATCTTTCATGTGATGGTTTGAGTTTTCAGGCCATATGAAAGATGAACGCAGCATTCCACACACGACAGGGCAAAGTCCAGAGGAGGAGGTGGGTTGCTCTGCAAAACTCGGCACAAACTTTAACCAGAAGATCCCGTTCTCATCACTCCTTGTTTCTCAATGGCTTAAGTCAGATCACATGCTCTATCCTGAACCAATCACTTTCAGGGAAGATTGGGGTGCCCCCTAGAACTGGTCAGATCCCATCCCGAAAGTGGAAGCATAGCAACCAACATTCTTTCAAAGGACTAACTATGGATAGATAAGAAGGGATACCTAAATAAAACACAGTTCTTGTGGGTAGAGGGGAGGAAAATGCCTGTGAGGGCAAAGGCAATGAGTACCATATCCACTTACATATTTTTTTCTTCCCGTTTACATATTTTCAAATGTAGATGACTGTGTTCCCCCAAAACAAGAGAGTTTAGCAGACTACCTAGTTATCATAGCCCAAGATATCAAGAGGTGCAATCTTCCTTCTCAGTTAATATTATCTATTCACGATAATGCTACATTTCCAATAGTTCCCAGGGGACTTCTTGGAAAATACATGGTCGTCCAGTGACCAAGAGAGGCGAGATTTAAGCACCAAGATGAGAAATAATTTGTAGAAGTGAATTAATTTTATTATAATAAAATATATGCATGTTTAGTTTCATTCATACTTAAGATATTTGCCTCATCGTCCCAGTTACTGCTGTTAGTTAATATCAGGACCTTGACATTCCATTATTGCTTGAATAAGTCTGTGAAAGGAACTCATGAAGAGTATTTTGACATTTCTTCATCTAATGCAGCCAGGATAGAACACTTGAAGTATCACTGCTGTCTCTGGAACTTTTCTTCTTGGATAAAACCCATTAGTAGTTTAACCAAAGTAAGGTGCCTAATAAGGTTGAAATGATTATAAACAGAAGGGTTGAGAATAACCTCTAGTCCAAGCTGTGATTCCACTTGCCAAAAATTCCTGGGAATAGCAATGTGTTGTTAGAGAATCCTGCCTACCAGGGAGCCTATTTCTTAAGTTAAACGTTTCTTTTTAGACAAAGCAACAACAACATTGGGTTTGAAATTCCCAATGGGAACCTTTTTTTTTTTTAATTAATGTTGACTAGTGATCCAATATCAAATTACATGAGTTTATTTGAAGGAAAAGATGGACCGCTTGGTCCATTTTTAACAAAAGAAGTAAGAGGGAAAATAGAAGAAAATAGAAGGAAAAAAGAATGGGTATTCTATGAGATAAATGATTTCATAATAATAGAATTTTTATTTAATTATCAATTTTCTAGGTAGTAGAACATAGCTTCTAGCCAGAGAGTAGCCAAGATTGACTTTGAGAGACAGTGAGGTCCAGGCCCAGAATCCTTAACAAGTTGATTGGCAGCAGAAGCCAGATGGACAAGCTGGTTGGCACTAAGAAGTTTGGCAGCTCCCAGAAGCCAGGTAGGTAGGGCGGCAGAGGCTGGATCCACAGCTCAGGGAAGGGAAGCCAGAGACTCCATAACCCTGGGCTCTGAAGCCCCGGGATCCACAGCCCAGGGAGTCAGAACTTCTAGGTCCATACCCCAGGCAGTAGCTTCTGAGGGACTCACAGTCCAGAGATCCAGTGTAAGTTGACCTGCAGGGACTGCAGAGCGTGGAGGTCCTCGGGCGGTAGCAGGACGCGTGGCAGGGGCTGGACACCACGCAGGACGTCCGGCAGCTGGTGGGCTCGCAGCAGGTGTCCTGACAGCTGCCGTAGATGGGGGCTCCCAGCTGGCAGGCGCTGGGAGAGCAGAGGTCCGTGCAGTAGACCAGGTTGCTGGGGTAGGAGGAACCACAGGAGGAGCTTGGGTAGCGCAGGTAACCCCCAAGGGAGCGGGAGGAGAAGTTTCCAGAGCAGCAGCTGTAGGACATGCTGATGGGAGATGTGAGTCCAACCGAGCGATAGTGAGAAGATACTGTGATATCTGCCAGGCATGTTTATGTACGTATATATACCGTCACTGCACTGGATGTGATGCAGACCCTCCCCATTCTTGCGCTTGTCTTGTCATGAAAATTACTAATTAACCTAGACTATAATTATAACAACACATTCATGTGTTCTTAACTGCTGTTTAATTATTCCAATTTATAGAAGGCACTCCTCGCTTTTTTTTTTTTTTTTCCCTGGAAGTAAGGTGTGGATTGCCTTCAAAGATATCTGTCATGATGCAGATAGTGCCCTCCCCTCTTCGTGAGCTTGACTATGGGGATTTTGAGCAGGAATGCATAACTTGTCACCACCAATGCACTCCTAACCACCATCCACATCTCCCTCCCAAGTATTTATGTATGTTTTATTGAGCACTTACCAGTCTAAAATGTTGAAAATTGTGGCATCATCTAATCCTTGCAACAGCCTTACGAGATAGGAATTATCACCAATTTAGTGACCTACGTGTGCCTGTCTTCAAAGCCAGCAGGAACCACAATGGTATGCTAACAACCTGAGAAGTTTGTCTTTTCCACTTCAAGTATCACGGGAGCAATGAATGCTCACGTGAAATAATAACATTTCAGTGTGATAACATTTGCATTTTATCCCATGAACCTCCGAATGAAGTCTTACCCCTTTTATGAAACCCCCACATTCCGCCACTGAAGGAACAACTTCTTAATTATTTTAGTTATTTTGCATATTTTTGTATGAAAAGTCACCATGGAAATGGTTGTTTCAAACTCCTTCTATTTGTCCACTCATTTAGCTTATCATCGACAAGCACCTCATGTTTTATCCAGTATGGAATTATTGGATTCTTTTTCCATGTGAGGAAGAGAATTCTTTGGCAAACACTTAGACTATCACTGAGAATAATTGCTAAAAACTGATATACCTTGAGTGACTTGACTACCGATGAAGTGCATTTGCAAAAACTTGAATTTTAATAGTGTGCTAACCTTTGCCAACTCAGTTGGGAGTGAGAAATGAGACACCTCGGAGAGTGATTCATTTCATTCCCCGCTGAGCTTCTCTTTTGCTCATCGTTCTAGAAAGACAAAGAAGCATAAAACTTATCTTCATACTAAGTAGTTAAAATCATCCTTATGACTATAAAAAAATCAATGGTTTAAAGAAAAGTCCTGGAATTAGAGCTGCCTTTTTTTTCTTCCCCACTGATGATAATATCCAGCTTCTGCCTGCAAGAATCTTTTAGAAATTGGAAACAAAAAGCTATTTATGCAATTTGATCTTTTCTGTTTGTTTTGCGGGTGATTTTTTTTTCTAATCTCCTATAGTATTTGCTTATCGGGCACCAACGGAATAGTTTGCTCGTTGTTTTGCTTACAAATTTCTGCCAAATGTCGTGCTCACTTCTCCAAATCCTTTTCATTCCTTAAAGGCAAAATCAAATTCCTCCTATCTGACAGGTGTTCATCTCAGCTAAGCTTTGACTCTTCTGACATCAGAGTCTTAGTATGTTATAAGCTATCCATTTGGTGCACGTTGGTGGGCGCATGCGCATACACACACACACACACACACACACACACACACACACACAGATAGAGGAAGAATTGCAAGGGATACTTTTTGATATGGGTCATGAATTTGAGTAAGACATCAATCTTTTGAATTTGCAAAACAGCCACACACAGGGGAAGTCCTTAGGGTCAGTAACAGGTCTTAGTCTTCTTTGACCCAGCCACTGGAACATGGTGAAGTTCCTTATTTTCCTTATCAGCTGAAGGAAAATATCAAATCATTAACGTTCTATTTTTATACTTATCCCAAATAAATATATGCATGTGAACTAATTGGTTTTTTTTTTCTTTTAAAACTTGTCTTCGTGAAACTACTAAGTGAAATAAATCTCTTTCGTGACTGAATATGATCCTCAAGTACAAATTCAGTGCATGAAGTGACCCTAGATATCTGTCCCCTAACCCCACTTTACACAAGACTGGCCTTGGGGCCTTGATCAATTATTTTTTTCTGTTTCAAACTGCTTCATTCTCATCCATCCATTCTAATGGTTCTGCTTTCTCAGCCTTATGATAAGGTCAGCTTTTCTCCCATCAAAAAATGTCAAATAGGGTCATTTCCTTCATGATGATATAGCTCTTCTATTTTTTTTTAAAGATAGAATTTTCTACGAAATTGTGCCTTTGTCAATTTGTCAATTATCTTCTTATTCTCTTTTCAATGGCCGTAATTTCTCTATTTGGCTTACTGTTCTTCTGAAATCTCCCTGACGTGGTCTGCAGTGGCTCTGTGCTGCTGAATGCAAAGGACTTTTTGGGGGGATCTTATATGAACTTTTAATCACATGCAACACAAGTGACCTATATGTCCTTCATCTTGAAACATGTTCATCTATGTAGTTCCATAACATTACACGCCTCATTTCTATGATTCTCTGTAACCTTAGTTGGGTTCCTGTACATCATGGTTCCTCAGGCTTGGTGCTCACCTCTTGACATATTTTCCCTAAACAGAAGGCACTTCCCCTTCATGGCTTAAAATACTATCCATATTCTGTGACATTCAAATATATATTTCCATATACACCTTTTTTATTTTTAATTCTAGGCTTAGATATCCAATTACTTACTAGACATTTCAATTTGGAGGTTCCATAAGGGTGTCAAACTCTCATGTGTATGAGATTGAACTTTTGCTCTTCCCTACAGAGAATAAAATATTTCTCTCTTATCTGGGTAAGCAGCATCCATCTAGTTGCTTAATGCAGAATTAGAATCCTTAGAATCCTTCCTGTATATGCAGTCCATCCCCCAAGCGGCCCATTCTGTCTTCCAAACTCACCATAAATCCATCTAGTCCTCTTACTGCCTACCTTTTAGTCTAGGGTTTCTCATTCTCATCATCAGTGACATTTTCGGATGTGTCATTCTTAGCTGTGGGGACTGTCCTGTGCATCATAAGGTATTTGGCATTACTCTCGGCCTTCATCCACTAGATGCCAGTAGCACTCCTCTTCCCCTCAGCACACACACACATACACACACACACACACACTATGACAATGAAAAATGTCTCCAAAAATTGCATGGGGGAGAAAGCAGTCCGGGAAAGAACCCCTGCCCTAGCTCAAGGCAGTCTCCTTTCTTGGTGGGTTGTGAAAAAGTTCCAACATGGCCCGCCTCACCTTCAGAAAACGTCTCTTCACATCTTTTCTCCCTATCCCTGCCTGATAAGTCTTAAGATGAAAAGCTGGTCATATCGCTCTCCTGATTAAAACTTTCCCATTGTTTTCTAATACATGTGCGCTAAAATACAAATTGTCTACATGATTTGCGAGGCTGCATAGTCGTGTCCCTGCCCACGGCTCTAACTTCATTTTCACACTGTATCCTTTCCCTTTCGCACCATTAAACTCTCTCCAGCTTTTTCTTAACACAAGTACACACTATTTTCTCTGCCTGCATGCTCTTCCTTCACCTGGATAATTAAGATAATTAAGCTTTTCCTCACTTTATAAACACTGGATCCCAGGATAAGTTAGGCTTTCCTGGTATGATATCTATTACCTTTGTACTTAATTCTCTCGTCTTTATAATATACATTGTTAAACTGCCCTGTAAGCTAGAGCAGTGCTACTGAAAACAGCTAGTCCATGGATTTTGTTACTGTCTGGCATGAGGTAAATGGTGTATGCCAACAGGTAAATCAATGCATCACTTCCTTCATTAAGAACATTAAGAAGTCTTGCATGATTAAAATTGTTGGCTTCACTAAATCATAGGTTTGGTAACATCACTGATTTACCCTGGTCGATGACTCACTCTTTGAGTGGCACATCTCTGACTATAATCTCTGGTTGGGGGGCTGGGGGTGAGAGAAGCAGGCAATAATTCTACTTTCTTGTTCAACACTGAATCCTTAGCTCAAGAACAGTCAAAGTTGGATACTAGTTTTTCTTTTTTAAAAAATGTTTATTTATTTTGAGAGACAGACAGAGCACAAGCAGGAGAGGAGTAGACAGAGAAGGAGATACAGAATCCAAAGCAGGAACCAGGCTCCAAGCTGTCAGCACAGAGCCTGACATGGGACTCGAACTTGCAAACTGTGAGATCATGACCTGAGCCGAAGTCAGAAGCTTAATTGACTGAGCCACCCAGGTGCCCCTGTATAGTTGCTTTTCAGTAACTACTTCCCTAATGGACAAATTAAGAGATGGATGGTTTTATCACCACCCAAATATCTCCTATGTCATTTCATCTGTAGACCTCCGAACTTTCCCTTGTTCCACATATGCCCCTGGATGGTTTACAAAAACAGCAAAACCAGTAGAAACTTAATTGCCTTCGTAAACAGAGTTTCCTGGCCCAGACCTGCTTCTATGTCTTTGCACCCACCTAAATATTATTACACCATCTACTCAATGCTGAAAATGGGATGCCTGGGGGATATCTAGGACCCTCTCCCCCTTCCTCACTTCCCATCTCCAATCTCAGATCAGCATATCTTGCCAATTTTTATTCCGGAAACAGAACACTTTTCTTTCCTCTCATTCTGTGTCTCAGGTGTTCTTCCTTTGTGACCACAGGGGGTCCTCAGTGTGCCCCCAAGCCTCTGGGCCGACTTATCTCAACTCTTATCCTGTGCATTATTCTGAATGTTCTTTCTAAAAGTCCACGATGGCCTCTGCAAACTCGAATTTAATTTTCTAAGTATTTTACGCAAGTCATCCTATGATCTAACCCCCAATTATCTCCCACCTGATATCTCTATGTCCTAATTTTATCTTCAAAAGATAGCACATTTCTCCAGCTCAGTTTAAGGGCTAAAGGCAGAGGAGTTAGTCGGGCAAGGGGTCTTGTTTCAAGAAGCTCAGCATCAACAAAGAATGTCAGATGAGAGGAGATGAAAGATGAAGCTGGAGACAGACAGGAGCCAAATTACAAGGGGTTCTGTA